GCTTCCATTTCCCTTACAAAAAGGTTTATGGCTTCAATTCTGAGAGTTAATTGAGACAGTGATATATGATGCTTATGGTTTGTCCTATTAAATTAAAAAAAAGGATTAACCCTTTCTTTCAGTATTATATTCATTCTAATAAAAGTATTATACTTCGTATTCGGTATCCCCTTGTTGGGTAGCTTGTGTGATGAGTACAAAGCAAGAGTCGTCTGTAATTATTATGTCAAGTGGATTATTGAATTTTAGTTGTTTTGGGAATTAATTGAACGACGAATATATTCGATTTGAGAGATTAGGTGATTTTGGAGACAGGCATACACCACCCACCCATATGTGGAAAATGGAAATGGTCGTTGCTTTGAGTTGACTATAATCATTTATATGGGAAAATTCTCTCCCTAAAATTTCCTCCCCACTCTCCTTAATTGTTATTGTATGTAATAAAAATATTAAAAATAATGAATGGAGTAACACTATGCCTTTTTTTTTTTAATAAAGTATCACTATGTCTAAACAGAGTAATATTCGAGTATCAAAAGTTTTCATATTGAATGGTATGAAGTGGGCGGTATTTTTTTTTTACTAGACAAGTCACTAGTCTATGGTGAGAAGCTCACACTAAAGTAAAGTTTATGGTATTTGATTTATATGGGGCGTAGTTCATCTGGTAGAAAGAGTGTGTCACATGAGAGATCTCATGTTCAACTCCAAGCAATGACTTGGAATGAAATAACAATATCTTTTGGTATCAAAACTCAACTTACATCTTCCTAGGTAACTCTTCATTCGGTTCTCGAGGCCCTCAAGAATGGAGTGTGATCCTTTTTTTATAGTATTTGATTTATTTTCCCCTAAGGCTGATTTCAAACTTCTACAATTTCCTTCTTTCACTTTCTTACTCTTTCTTCTTTACCATTACTATCATTTCTTCCCCGTTTGATTTCACAATTAAGAATCACCCAAAATTTATCTTCTACGCATGTATTCCTCTTACAAAAAATCGAAAGTTACTTTTCTAGCTCTTGTGAACAACAATAGTGGCTAAAATTGTGTCATTTACCCAATGCAAATACGATAACATAATATATCTCAAAAGTTATTGAACTTGGGAGTGTTATAAGAAAGAAGCTCAATAACAAATACTCCAAAGTTATATCTTTGGACTACGTATAAACGGTATATTATATCTTTAGAGTTATTGAACTTGGGAGTGTTAGTAAATACTCCGTAGTAAGTAACAAAACAATACTATGAATGGCTAAAAATTCAGGTCCAGTGAGGAATAGCGTTGTTAAAAATGATGAACATAATAAATACTCGTATCACATTTTCATAGACAAATTATATTAACACATCAATATTTATTTACTCTATCTATACCAATAACTGCAACATTTCAACATTGCAGCCTTCTATTTTGAGACTTTTATAACTTTACGCTGTCCATCCTCTTTCATACGAGATATTCGGGTTTCTCTAATCTGTATTTTGATTTTAGTTGTGATGTCGATATAAACAGGATATTTGTAATTGGTGATCATGTGACTTTAATTGATGAACAAATATATCTTAGGTTACTATCGGAAGAACAAAAATACTCTTCAATTACCAATTAGGACTTCACACTACACGTTTTTCAATAACAAGACTAGGTACATATTGACGTTGTTGAAACTGAAACATCAAGTGTAGTTGAAATCAAACACAAACAAAACTATTCTTTATCATCATCATTACCCCAGTGCCGCAAAGGCTCGCACCTAAGGTGGGATAAGGGGGTCGGATGTACACAGTCGTACCCCTGTACTATAGCACAAAGAGACTGTTTCCAGATAAATAATAATGAAAATCGCGTCCAAATTTGCATGGACTAACTGCAGCTTCATAACAAATAAGTGCAGACAGTTTAATGAGCCATTTTGTTTTATTCATCATATTTTCAAGACAAAAAGTAGTGAATCTTTGGCTCCATTGCAAATGATGGAAATACAAAATTATTGTCTTGAATCCACTAATTTATTAACTCCGATCAATCTGTTCATTTTCTCTCAAAATTTGCTTTTTGCCCCTTTGTATTTTATTAACTCAACTAGTTTCCATGTTCATAATAAACATGATTTGTACAGCTTAACATGGAACCTTTATCCTTTATATGTGAAGAAGGATAACATGAAGTCAAGAATGAATGTTGATAATACAGCACTGAGGTGAAAGTATTGAAAATGAAGTACACAATACTTAAAAGTTAAAAGGCAAAGTATACTTCACTGAAAATTGATCAATTACTTTCGCAGGTTAGTTAGTTTCTTACTTTCTATAGAAAAAAGCATAATACTTTCATTATACTACAATTACGACACTTTAAAACTCTATTTCTTGATAACAAAAAAAAGGGCCATTGAAAGAGGAAAAATCACTGGCAGAAGCCACACTCTTCTAAAGCAGATGTATGTGGCATGAACTTAACATTTAATTTTACACGATTAGAAAATTTCTTAAGAGCGGAAAAAGCGAGAATGGAACTATTAACACTTCACTCAGTTCCCAAGGTTCTAGCCTTTTTTTTTTATTTAATTTTACACGATTTTTATGGTTTTTTTTTTATTGAAATGGTTCCATATTGAGTTTTTCTACTTTAATTTTGATATTTCAAATATTAATTTTGATTCTCAACTTTCATTTTTTCACATTTATTCATAAAACCAAAGTTGACTGGCACGTAAATTAATACAATAAAAATTACTCCATCCGTCTCGAAAGAAGTTCCACATTTGACTTTCACACACTTTTATGCAAGTAAACTTACCAGGGGATAAATTTTACTGTTTTGACACTGTTTGGCACTGTTTTGCACTGTTTTGATGTAAATAACTTTCCATTTAAGGAAATGGGAACGTAAATTAGGGACATCCAAATAAGAAAAGTGAGAACTTCTTTCGAGGACGGAGGAAGTATGTGATTGAAATTTATACAGAGGAGAGAGAATTGACTTAAACAACATATTCCTTACTTTAAATAAAAATGACAAAGTTTTTTTGAACGAAAAAAAAAAATTTGACCAAGTTTTATAGAAATTAAAAGTAGGCATGAACTCGGGCCAGGTGGCCCGACCCGGAACCAACCCGAACCGGCACTGTTCCAGCCCGGCCCAGTGGCCCGGTCAGTGACAGTGACCGGTTCGGGTAGGCCCGACCTACTGGGGTTCCGGTCCGGGCTCGGGCCTCTCAAAACGAGAACCGGTCCGGTCCAGGCCATTTTATTTTATTTTTCTTTTTTCTTTTGATTTTTTTTTTAAATTTTTGGGTTGACCTGGGTATTTTGGGTCATTTGAGATTAGGGATGGACTCGGGCCGGGCCAACCGGCCCGGAACCGGACCGGCCCGCTACTGTGCGGGCCCGGACCGGCCCGGTCAACCGGTTCGGTTCCGGTTCGGGCCTCCAGGCCCGGTGGTATACCGGTCCGGGCCCGGGCCTCCAGTTTAGTGAACCGGCCCGGCCGGGCCGGGCCCAGTTCGGGCCGAAATTTAAATTTTTTTTTTTTTTTGAAATTTTTTTAAGTTTTGGGTTGGATTAGGTATTTTGGGCCATTTGAGGTGGTTTGGGGTGGAGGGGTAGGGGGTTAAATAAGAGAAGAAGAAGAAAAAAAAAAAACATTCCGGGTGGCCCGGCCCGGCCCGGCCCGGTTCTGGCCCGGAACCGGAACCGGAACCGCCCACCACCGGTTCGGGCCCGGGCCTCCCCTTTCCTGAACCGAGGCCCGGCCGGGCCCAGGCCCGAACCGGGCCCGAACCGGAACCGGTCCACCCCTATTTGAGATGGTTTGGGGGCGAGGGGGGTGGTTAGAGGTTAATTAGGAAAAGGCAAAAAAAAATGAACCAAGGCCCGGCCCGGCCCGGCCCGGACCCGGGGGTTACCCGGGCCAGTTCCGGGCCTCCCCTTTCCTGAACCGAGGCCCGGCTGGGCCCAGGCCCGACCCAGGCCCGATCTGACCCGGGTCCATGCCTACTTAAAAGACAGTTGCCAAACATGTGACTCAAGAATGGAAGGGTCATCTGTATGAATTTACTTTTCTATTATTTAAAAATTGATACAATTCACATGTTGTATAAATTTTTAAGTTCAAGAAGTCATCTGATCATCTGTTCAACTGTAATAATCAGTTAATGACTTGATTGGTGTTTTTCAATGCATGCGCCTACATGTTTACTTTTTTAGTATAGGGGCCTGTGAACTCTGAACATCAGAACATGTAGAGCTGGACATGAGACTATGAGAGGGGGGGCATGACTTTCTGAATCATCAAAATTGCTTCCTAATGTTATAAATGACGCTGGACAATTTATACACACCAGAGTGTTACCTACTGTCTAACCAAATTCCTAAATGGACTTCTTAAATACCCCTGCCTTATAAGCTTCTTCACTATATACATTTCCACAACAAAAATCTCTCACCAGAGAAGAAGCTAGCTAACCACCCAGGGAACTGCCTCAAAATTATAAGATCTCCCTCACCGAGACATAACAAGGCTGTTCAATGGAGAGACAACAGATGAATTGAAGAGGGAGTCGGTCATATATTTACAATTTCCAGGGTCTGCCTTCACTGATGAGGAAAAGAAGCTGTTGGATTCCAAGTTGACATTCTGATTTTTGTCGAAGCCAAAATGTGCCTTGTTAGGAGGGCTTCGGGATAACCTTCTCTTCCTAAATGACTTCCACTGCAACTGACCAAGTCGTTTATCTTTAGATAGATCACTAGCCCCTCCTAACCCATCCAAATTATATTGTTTAGCAAACACAATGTTGACTTTAGGTGGTTTCTCATGTCTGTCGGGAGCACAACGACCTGAGGGATCAACATCTGTGCATGTGACTTCATCAAATGACTCCTTTACTGCCTCCGTCACTGTTTGCCCACCACCACACAACACAGGGACTAGATCGGGATTTTCCTTTAGATGCTTCCAACCATCGACCAACCATTCTTGTGAATGCCTCAAGTTAGCGTGGCTAAAGATCTGTGTTTGTTTCTCCCCTGCAGGTTTCAATGAAAAAAAAAAAAACAATACTTTATCAGGCATGAAATCGCTATTGAGTACTATGTCGTAAGGTAGGGCACAGGATAGCTAGTCTATATTACAGAGCAGATTTAAGGAAGCTTATGATATACCTAGTCCTATTTTGTTTATATGCCCATGCTTCTTTCATAAGCTCGAGATACTTTTCAAATACGATCATGGGCTTCATTTACGTAATTTCAATATAATATTTTATTGAAAAACAACTTCATGTAATTCTGATTTTATAAGTTGCCTTGTCAACTACAGAGTCATAGCTTTCCAGCAATCACCTATAAATGGGTAATAAACACCAACCTGGGAAATATATATGCAACCGGTCTTCACATTCTTTCTGGACAACAATGCCCTCCCACCACCCTTCATTCCACCATGCATCAACAGATGCACCAACATTAAATGCCCATGAAACTCTGCCCTTACGGGGTAAAGGAGAAGGTCTAAGTATAGTTCGCCCATTAATCCGGAGACCAAATTTATCTGGTGCGGCTAACTTTGTTGACAAAACCCACTCCTGTAAGATTTAAATGAAAAGAATGTTTAAAAATGTTAATGAGATAAACAAGAAAAGATGACAATCTATACAGTATACATCGAAGTTGTAGGTTGTAAACAAAATCAGAGAGGAACTTGCAGGTATGGATTGAAAAACATAACAGTGGGTGACACTCACCTCAAGATTCTTAGCTTCATCTTCAGCATCTTTGACATCTTTATACTGCACTTTCACCTTGTCCTTGTGCTTCTTAATCACTACGCCTCTGAACCAACACCCTCTAAGGCCACTATCTTGAGACATTATTTCAACTTGGGAACCAATGTCAAATTTCAAGAGTGGCTCCTCTCTGACTGTATCTTTCCTGGGTAACATGACATCTAAACAAGCTTCATTGGAAGTGTTTATTTCCATTGGTGCTAGAGAACTACCATCACATTGCTTTTGGGGAGACTTAGCCACCCACTTCTTTAGTACAGAGTCCTTTGAAATGCGTAGCCTTTTGTAAGGCCTGTTTCCAACAATGCCACTGCTAAATTCCTCTGAGTGCATTTTTTTGGGTGATGAGAAAGACATATGTTTTAAAAGCTCTTGTCTCCAGTAGCCTTTAATGCTGGTTATGTCAAAGGATTTGAGCTCATCATTATCCAACAGCCTATGGCAAACAAATGGTCCAGGATGTGTGTGGTTTGGTAAGTTAACCAAACTCTGATAATGCTGAGGACTGAGGACAGTCGCCAGTCCATCTACGCACTCAATGCTGAGGTTTTGAAGACAAAGAGAAAATAAAATCTCTCTGTCATTATAGTTATTATTAGGCAAAAGAATATCAACTTCATCAATTTTGTGAAACCAGCGTACCACAACCATTCTGTTTCCTCTGCTGTCTTCATACATGTCATCCAGGTAAGCAACAAGCCGCTTGCCAAATTCAGCTAACACATAAACAAAGTCATGAACCTGGAAATGTTTAAAAGAGTAAGTTAATAATTTCACAAAGTACGATGATATTCAGTACCCCCAATGCATATATTTAATTTTTTTAAACTTACAGAAATTCTAACACCATTCCTGCAAAATGATATATAGTGAGAACGGCTCTTCTTAACAGCCCGTGGAGACCCTATCCAAGTAAATGTTTTAACAGGCAGTCCAGATCTCTGCAACTCAACATCCTAACACAGTTTTAAAAAACAACTCACTTTAGAATATAACGCAACTAAATGCAATATCCTTCCAGTAAATGAAGAACTAACTAACCTCCAGTGTATTCAAGGCATTCAAGCCTGCAGCTATATTTTTGCTGGTTCCACATGCTGCTCTGCTATCTTGAGGATGACGCATATCTGAAAGTAGGCATTATTTCAAGTAGATTCAGAATTGGAAACCCTTAAAGATTATAGGTTAATCAGAAAATCAGTTTAACCAACAAAACATAGAACAATATTCTCTGAATGCACATAACAAGAACAGAATTTAACCTAAAAAGGGATTAGTCAAGTAATGTAGAGAATGGAAAGAAAATAATGCTTCAATAAATGTAACTTTGTGCCCATAGGAAGTCATCATAGAACTTGACCTAGATTGAGGGCATAAGAATCTTGAAGCTCTCAAGCAAGTTTTTGAGTTCCCGCAGCCCAGACCATTCGGGTGAGATTATCATCTGCGAACCCCACACTGGCTTAGACACGAGACAAAATTTCAATACCACGATTAAAAATCTGTCGCACAATGATCACGGGTTTTGAGGTCGTCAAGCTTGATATTAACTAATAAAGAGCAATTAAGTGTTCATACGTAGAAGAAATGTTCCTTCCTTACAACCGCTATATAACATACTATGTATATCTTCAAGTGAAGATTGCAATGATCATGATGCGTATTCCTCAGTTTAACATTTTCTTTTCGCCACAAAAGTGTACTTTCAAAAGAAATAAGGAATTCCTGATTAGGTATGATTGCACAGAATGACAGAATCTACAAGAAAACTTATCAATATCCAGATTTGCTATCAATACAGATGATAGCAATACTAAAATTTTGCTATCAAATCTACACTTTAGAATAAACTTATCAATACAGATGAAAAAAGAAAACAAAATTTTCAAAACTAAAATGCCTGTAAATAAGTGGATTTAGAATAAAACTGTTTGTATCCTAGAAACATTATTATATTAATAAAAGTCAAAATATGGGCTGTCTAAATAAAAGTTGCTTGCAGTCTTGTAGACAAGTAAATTGGGATTGACTCTGTTCTGCAGGCTAAATAAATTACGGAGTAATATTAAAGAGATCAAAGCCTGGGGCATGAAACTTAAAAAGATTATCCACAAAAGCTTAAAAAACTCAAAAACAAAAATATATTAATTATGTGGATTCACTGCCTATACACATCCCAGTGTGGAAATTGAAAACGCTCTTCTACGAAGCTTCGAACATGAAGGAATGTTTTCAATCACGCCCAAAATACAATTACACTTAGAGAGCGTTAGATGATAAAGTCCCCAATTCACTACACGAAAACAAATTAACAAGATCCGGAAAATGTTCTCCCAATCAACTGGAATTCACAATTAATGTGAGGAGTTTCAGAAAAACCCACCGCCATAAAGAAAAAAGAAAAGCTTGGCCTAAATTGATTAGACCAAAGCTAAAGAGGCACATACATAGAGGCTATGACATAATTCAACTCATAGATGTATACAAAAATGCACCTGAAACGATAGAATTAAGCCAATCGACGACTTCTCTTCGTTTCCGGAGCTTTGGAACAGCCAGAGGACACGACGCCGATATCAAAGACACGTCCTTTATTGCGTAGTTATACGACATATGCCCGGTTCCTTTTCCGGATCCGACAACTGCAAGATCTGATAGTCCGTCACTGCGTTTCAGATAGTAGAGAACTTCCTTCCTGCAATTATCGGCGGGCGAGAAAGCCCTGTACCAACTTACGTAAAACGGAGCCTTCGCCGATGCGGCCATCCGCCAACTGAATCGAGATGGAGACGTGGGAATGGTGGGTTGTGAGTTGTGAGCAAACTGAATCGAGAGAGTTTCGTATGTGAAGGAGGAGTTTCAACCGGAGCTTCGGAAATTGGTACTTATACAGGCTAGGGTTTCGGCCTTCCGGGATGAACGGGTAGAGGGAAGTTACTGGTTTGCAGATATAACCCTAGGAGTTTATTGATTTGCACTTCAGCCTCTCAACAATTTTCTCACGTGCGTTTGCTTCATTAAAAAAAAGAAAGATAAATGAAATAATTGCCTCAATATCACTAATTAACTTTTCATTTATAAAAATATGACTTATTTTTCTTTTTCCTAAAATATGAGTTGGACTCTTCCCGTAACCCAACTCTCCTTCCCTAATTCCCAAATTCACAATTCATAGCCCTCCATCCATCGCAAACCCCCCATCTCCACGCCTCGCAAACTTCATCCATCGCAGCTCCCCAGCACCTTCGAATTCTCCATCACTCCTCGACCGCAAGCAGCATCCACCAACAACGAAGATCGAGGCGTCATCCGCCATGGCCGCCACCGCTGGTTAAGACTTCCTCGATGGCCGCCGCCGCCGGTTCAGGCTTCCTTGATGGCCGCCGCCACCGGTTCAGACTTCCTTGATGGCCGCCGCCGGTTCAGGCTTCCTTGATGGCCGCCACCGCCAGTTCAGGCTTCCTCGATGACCGCCGCCACTGGTTCAGTCATCATCGATGGTCATCTCCACTGCTAGATTCGCCGTCCTCAATAGATCTGCGGCGTCGGCTAGGGTAACCAGAGGCGGCGGCAGTTTCGTGGCCGCGACGGACTCGCGATTGTGTGGGAGCAGGGGTGTTTGCGACGGCTAGGGGTGGGGGTCGCGATTGTGCAAGATCTGGTCGGGGTTGGGGGTTGTTGTGAGGGGTGGGGATGCGGACTGGGGGCTGGGTGATGCAGGGGAGGGGGTTGGGGTTGGTGTATGTGAGGGGTTGGGATAAACGGCCAGCGATGGCTGCAGGCAATGGTGGGAGGTGGTGGTTTCCGGCGGTGATGGAGTTGGGCGAGCAGTCACTATGGCCAGCCGGCGGGCAGTCAATGGGGTAGGTGGGTAGGCAATCACTGTGGCCGGTGGACGGCAGTCACTGTGGCCGGTGGATGGCAGTCACTGTGGCCGGAATCAGGTGTCAGTGTGTCACTATGGCCGGAGTCACTGTGGTGGCGGTAGTCACTGTGGCGGTAGTCACTGTGGCCGGAGTCACTTTGACCGGAGTCACTGTGGCGGCGGAGTCACTGTGGCCGGAGTCGCGGCGGCGGCGGCGGCGGCGGTGATGGCGGTGGTGCTGGGTCGGCGGCCAGAAAGGTGCTGGTAGTAAATGGAATAAAAGGAATATTGAAATAATAAAAGGAATATTGAAATAATAAATGTATATTAAATAAAAGGAATAAATAACTTTTAGTCACATTTTTAGAAAAAATTAAAACAAGTCACTTTTTTATCATTTTCATTCATTTTAGTAATATTGGAATAAAAAGGCCAAGATAAATCCCAAGTACAATTTTAATAAAATTCCAAAAATTAAAGAAAAAATAAGTTAAATATCCTAAATTTTGAGGAAATGTGAAGTAAGCATTCCAAACTTTATATCTAATATTTATACCTCGAACTGATTCTTTTCCCTAGCGATTCTTATCGTGTAGGGCTTGGCTTTCGCCGTCCTGGTGCGGCGCATAATCTTTTTTTCAACGAAGATGGAGTATGTAGCGGGAGAGGGGCGCAGGGATGATCAAGCCCATAAGGGCGAATTGGTGGTCATGGCTGGCGTGGAGATTTTGACCGCTCAATTCGATGGCATGGATGTGGGCTCTACGGCGGATACACTACTGATCGAAGATGTTGGTGATTCGGAATCCGAAACCGGGGGAACAGCGAGAGAGTGCATCAATCGAGCGAAGGTCCGACCTCCTCCTGAACCACCGCCAGAGATTGATCGAGGTGCTAGGGTTCAAGACAGTTATTTTGCTTATCTAGTTTTTATCATGTTTTGTCTTCCTCCGATGAATTTTTATTATTTTGTCCTTTGTGTTCTTGTTACTGTCTATGCTAGGTTTGCCAGTTTATTTGGGGTTTTAGCCTTTTTTTGTGTCATTTGGTATGTTTGGATCTGTGGGAATAGGGATGGTTGTGTCAAGCCCGATACATGGTCAGCGATTCGTGTGGCTCTTTCAGGGGTGACCGTCTCCAAGTGTGGCCATAGGGTTTACAGTCATAGTTATTGGTGTTTAGCTGGTGTCAGGTTTGTTTCTCCTTTGACTGATGTAATGATCCTGAAACTACTTATGATATGAAAAGATGTCAGTTTCGTTCAAAAAAAATATATTTATATCTCGAACTATATATAAAAAGTAATATCAGTACCATGTACATATGTTTTTTTCTTTCACGATGTAATATCAGTACCAATTCAAAGTTTAGGCTATTTTAAATTATTTTTCACAAAAAAGTATTGCATACAATCTTAATACATGTATTTTTATGGACTTTAATTATTTCAAATAATTAGATATTTAGAACTATAATAAAAGTAGTTTATACAATTGTATACTATATAAAAGTAGTTTATACAATAAGTTTCTAAAAAATTGTGACATTTAAGTGTAATAACTATAGAAATAACTGTATTCAATTATTACACTTATATATCACAATGAGACTATCCTATAACAATTATTAATTATATTTTTTTTTACATAATTTTCATTTCAATAGTATCTTTATTACTTATGTTAATAAAGATATTATCCTAGATCGAAGCAAAAATGTTTTTGAATTCTAAAATAGGAGTATCATAATTTTCTTATTCATAATTAAATATAAATAATTATTGTCATGTTTTGGCATTACCGACATTAAACATACCAGTATTTCCGCACTAATTATTTCTATTAAAGATATAAAAACACAATACTTCTATTTTGGAATATTAAAACATTTTTTACTTCTATTTTCAGAATTATCCCATTTTAATTTAACTGCACAGATCTTATCAGATTTCAATAAAATTAGCTGCTCCATCTCAAGATAAACTCCATTCTTTCTCTTTTTATCCATACATATAAACTCAATTTTCCATTGATGTCGGAGAATATTTTATTCAAATTATTTTTTATGTGTACACCTTTTGGTGAAATAATTTCCACTCTAAGCTCTTATTTCATGTGTCAAGTCAAGACGAGAATTCAATATGGGATGGAGAGAGTATATATCCCTATGGGAGCCATGTAAAGGGGGGGAAGTTGGAAATCATTTTATACACATCACTTTATCTCTCTAGCTCTCCCTTCTCTCTAGATAAATAATCTATCAATATTCATCTTATTCAATCACACAACATGTCATTCTCCCATTATCTTCAACAGCTGTGTCTACATTATCCTCAAACAAATGTTCATCGTTAGTGCTCTAATGTTCCATGATTTAATAACCGTCATACAACCAGTCTGAATCGATATCAACAATCCCTTGTTTCTTTCACATTTGCACACTCATTTGGAAATATATGTATTTCTTATTTGCCTAAAAAACTAGAAGTAGAATTTAAATATATCACCATGCATATTAAATATATCTATTTCTTATTTTCCTAAATAAAACAATTAGAAGTAGCATTTAACAACAACAAAACTTCATAAAATATAAAGAAAATGTAGTAATTTTGTAATTTAGCAGTCAATCTTTGGTAATATTGAGCATGTCTCTCTAAATTTGCAACACTTGCAGCAACAAAGTGTCTGGCCGAAAAATGAGATTCTTAACAAACTTCAAAGTGATACATCATACCCAACTATGTTCTATTAAAGGGATTCATACCCTCATGTCATAAGAGAAAACATTATATGGATGCACTATGATACTCTATTAATCTAGAGAAAAGAGGAAGCTAGAGAAAGAAAGTGATTGTATAAATCATGATTACAACTCTTTATATGGATTGCAAGGGGAATTTTAAAGAAAATATGTGGGCTGAACTGTCGAAACACGCCCAATAACATAAAATGGCAAAGAAAGGGCTAATACATGATACAATTAAAAATCTATTATTATGGGTTTATATGAATAAGCTGAAGCGTATAATAATAATAATAATGTAAATAATATCTTTATTTTTTCTAATAGTGTTCTATTAATTTAATAAATGCATTCTTTATTTTCCAACAAGAATAAAAGGAGTGTTAGCTAATCCAAAGTATGGAGTAGAATATATGGAAAACTATTGGGAGAATATATGGGATCATGTGTCATGGAAGAGATACAACAAATATAACAACAATTGGAGCAGAGTGTGAATATAATCTGAAGAGGAAAGGTGAATCTCTGATCTTCTATTTTTAGCTCTGAATATATTACATTGACACACATTTTTAGGCATATATTAAGTTGGACTCACTAACCGAGTGAACTACTAAATCTTTCACTTTGATTTGACCGAAATTACTGCAATCCAATTGAGTTACCCCACACTCAATTAAGGATTTATGACATTAATCTTTTCACAACAGATTGATAAAAAGCCCACAAGGATTTGATTGAGCGGTTAAAAGAAAAGGTGAACCTTTCAAATTTAAGAGTTTACCTTTCCCGTTAAGAATGATTAACTACTGTGATAGATTGTATAGACTTCGGCCTCTGGTCTCATGACTATTGAGTCTGGATAGTGGTCCACATACGCTCACTAGATATTATTTACATTATTGTACACTTCAACTTATTCATATAAACCAATTATAAAGGATTTTAATTATATCATTTATAGGCCATTTCTTTGCCATTTTATGTAATTGGGCTTGTTAGACTCAAATTCAACAGTTCAACCCACATGTTTTCCATAAATACCCCCCTTTCAAGCCATTTAAAGAGTTGTAATCATGATTTATACAATCACTTTTTATCTTTGACTATCCCTTTTTCTCTAGATTAATAGTGTATCATAGTGCATCCATATAATGTTTTCTCTTAGGACATGCGGGCATGGATCCCTTGATTAGATAGTTTATAGTTATTTATAATTCCTAAATAAGGACATGCATATAGATCTATATGATGTTATTAATCAAAAGATGTTTGTCTGGTAGTCATTTCCTTATCATTTTCAATGTCCAAACA